TTTGCATGCGTAATTAAGATATTTGTCTATTTGATGAAAACGCTAGTGACTTTCATCAAGTTTCACCGTGTTATCTAAATGGCGTGCATCTTGTGATCAGGGGCGCCGGAAGCAACGTGAAGGCAGCCATTTCAAAAGGGCACTTCATTTTTCTGGGCAGCAATATTTGCTAAAACTTTACTGTATGGTTACTCGATTACTTGTGGCTATTATGGTTATGGGTCGGCAAACTTCGACATTGTTTCCTCAGAACAGAGACGACCGGTTAGCAAAATCCATATAAACACACGTGCACACGCAAAGGAAGTATCGCAAATCGTATTATTGATAAATTAATAACGAATCATTAAATATACCAAGGTACAATTCGATCTATATAAAATAAATAAAGTAATTAAATAATATTTAGATATCGTAACTTAAATCCAATATTACTAGGCTATATGTGTCAATAAACTGTTCGAAAATGTCTTACTTCTGTGGCGATATTACTTAGATACTAGTGCATCCAACTTAGTTCCTGGTTAGCCGTATAATTTTAACAATTGGCTATATTTCCCTTAAAGGAGATTGGCAACAAAAATTGCTTCATCTATCTTATTGCTTCATCTGAAAGAGCATGGAAAAATAAGCCGATTGGCCGTTTAATGCTCTATTCTATCTCATCTAGTTCCGAAGTTATACGCAAAAATGTGAAAATATAAATTGCTGATTCAGCACAACGTGTGACGTCATTAGCTGGGTAAGTATGTTTATTGAATACTACACTGAAGCAAAGCTCAGTTATTATGGGCCCAAATCAAATGAAATTTTGCATACTGATTGTACATGATGAGACGCATGGAAAAACACTTCTAATTTTGTTGCCAAGGTAACAATGTCGTTTCCAGGCCCCTTGCGCCAATTTTATGAAACAGCTTTTTTCAAGGTACTGATAAGAATAAAATAATATCAGAAGTATGTGTATGATACCTATGCATGCCAAAAGTTTACTTGCATGATAATAATTCGAAAATGACATACACATAGATAAATGCAACTAGTTATTCAAAATCAGTGTAAGAGGCCTGGGAACGACTGTGTTGCCTTGACAACGAAATTAGAAGTATTTTTCCCATGCATCTCATCATGTACTATCTGTATGCAAAGTTTCATTTGATTTGAGCCAATAATAACTCAGCTATGCTTTAGTTTACTATTCAATAAACATACTTACCCAGCTTATGACGTCACAGAATGTGCTGAATCAGCAATTTATATTTTGCACATTTTTGCGTATAACTTCGGAACCAGATGAGATAGAATAGAGCAGTAAACGGCCAATCGGCTTATTTTTTCATGCTCCTTCAGATGAAGCAATAAAATCAATAAAAATTTTTGTTGCCAATACCCTTTAAATATAAACCTAAACAGTTCGATCTGTATTTCATTAGAGAGGTTAAGATACCCCGATTCCGGTTTACGGGTACGGGTGATATACACGTACCCGTACCCGTAAATCGGGGAATAACTTGTAACTTAAGAAATCCAATATATTCCGGCGTGAGAAAACCGATCAGAGAATGGCAACTTTCGCTGTTCAGGTTCGCCATAAATTGTTGAAAACTTTGACCAGCATATGTGCATTATTTATTTGGGTAAGATGTTGAAAATTTGTACTATTTAAACGGCTCAAAAATAGCAAACAGAATACACCCGTACCCGTTTGTCGTTTACGTGTAGACCACGGTTTACCGCGGGGAAACGGGTAGAAATTACGGGTAAAATTGCTGACATCAGCAAAAATTGGTAAACAAAATGGCGATACTCGTACCCGTAAACCGGAACCGGGGTATCTTAACCTCTCTAATGTCTGATGCAATCGTTAAGCCGGTTTTCCACTAGCGATTTTTTTCGCGCGAAGCGGGCTTTTTCCTTTGTCGGCATCCATTTTGCCACGTCTTGCTGACGTAACAAGTGATACAGACAAAGGAAAAAGGTCGCTTCGCACGAAAAATTTCGCTAGTGGAAAACCGGCTTTAAGTGCAAAGTTCACTTCCGGCGTTCGTGCGGTTCACGTGAATACCACGCTACCGATCCAGACATTAATTTGAAGAATTTTATTCGTTGCACCGTGCTAAAGGTGCAAAATAAAACCAGTGAACGAACGTAGGCCTATATTGCTTGATTTAGCATCAATTTTACTACAACTGATTAAAAATTAAGCAAAGATTGCTTACTACTGAGATGCTGTAAAGTCCGTTCTGCGTATGTGCACAAAGGATCGGGCACTCTTTTTACCATACAAACAGTTTATTTACGTTTTTATTTCATTTTATGTTCTTGCAAAGCTTGCCGGATTGTACGTTGTATCTTGATAATTTATCATACTCTATCTAGAGTCATAAAAATATAAGTAGTTTTCGAATAAAATTTTATATTTTGGGTACGGAAATGTAAACAAAGCCTTTGTTTACATACGGACTGTACCACATCTTTAAACATTGCTTAAAATTAAGTTCTAAATTCCAATTTCTGTGAATATTGCACAAACTTTGAAGTGCAATTCTGGCAAAAAGGGCAACCTGTTGCCCCCGTGATGCCCCCGCAATGTTTGGGCAACGGGGGCAGTTGTCCCCGTGGCTCCGGCGCCCCTGCTTGTGATCAAATAGGTGATTATCATTGGCTGAAATGCTCATGAATTATTAATGAATTTGAGAAATATACGAGATCTTTTTGGATCACACTGAGTGCTTATGTGCCCAAACATTAGGCAAACATAACATCTGCGATCCTTTCGCAACGCGTGGGTGTTTTTAATGTCAAATGCTTTGGAAAGTCCATTGCAATTAATCTCACTGTATCACAATTTGGTTCTTCTAGTGCTTCCTGGTACATATACTGTAATTTAATAAAGATGTCTGTGCTACACCCACCGATACGATAAGCAAACTGGGAAGATGATAACTCAGCCTCGAAAGATCTTTTACTATGCATAACTCTTACTATGATAATGATAAACCGTTCTTTCGAAGCATCTTCCAATCACAGGTGTGACGTTTATACCTCCAAATTCACAATATTCTTTTGGATTCTTGACTTTTGATAAAGGATCTATATGAGCAGTTTTCTAAGAGGTAGGCCATGTGGATGTAAATGGACGTCATGATGTGCCCAAACATTAGGCAAACATAACATCTTCGATCTTTTCGCAACGCGTGGGTGTTTTTAATGTCAAATGCTTTGGAAAAGTCCATTGCAATTAATCTCACTGCATCACAATTTGGTTCTTCTAGTGCTTTCTGGTACATATACTGTAGTTTAATAAAGGTGTCTGTGTTACACCCACCAATACGACTAGAAAATACATGCATGCAGCAACCCCTCGCCTTGCTGACAAAACCATTGTATTGAGATATACTATTGCTCGAGTCAGGATTCGAGCCAGGACTCGAGCCAGGACTCGAGTCAGGACTCGATAAAAAAAATGCGAAAATACGGGGAATTGCCATTACCAAATGGTTTTGTTTCATAAGACACGTTACGTAGGCTAGCTAAATGTTCTACTACTAGCAAATTACTACAACCTTTCGATAATTACGCTAATCACCTTGTGTAATTTACCAATGAGAGCGAGGTTCCAAGACTAAAAAGTATATAATTATCGAAAGGGTGTATTTGGTAATACAGTTAGCCAGCGTGGCCGGCTCTTCTATAATACAGTTTGGTGATATTGGCGTCTATTACAGGAAAATAAGGCAGGGAGAATTATCCTACTCTTTGACGAATGCTAAGCGGCAATGAGCGGCAACAAGTATCTGTTTTGTAAAGAGCGAGAGACTGCTAGTGATGGGCAATACCAACTGTTTTAGTTCGATAAAATACTGGCCGGATATTTCCCTTTTTTGGATATCGATATTTGTGCAATATATCAAAGACAAACAACAACAATGATATTGACTATTGTTTCATTCACTGTCTTCCGACGCTAATAACCGTTACAGTTAGGGGCCGATTACATGGAGCATTTTCAACCCCGGGGTTGAACTCAGCCCTGTTTACCGGGTTGAAATTTCAGCCCTGTCTGTAATACAAAACTCTATCAAAATCAAACGCGCGATTACATGACAAAATTTTAAACCCAGGGCTGAGTTCAACCCCGGGGTTGAAATTTCAACCCTGCTTCAGCTAGCATGCAGGGTTGAAATTTCAACCCCAGGGTTGAACTCAGCCCTGGGTTGAAAATTTTGTCATGTAATCGTTTCAACCCAGGGCTGAAATTATCATGAGTTATTCGAGCATGCGTGGTAGTGACTATTTATTACAAGAAAACAAAATAAAGGCTTTTTTACTTCCGCGAATCGATACCAAGAACGTATAGTGTAACGTAACCCCGGGGTTGAAATCGTCCATGTAATCGCAAAAAATTTCAACCCGGTTAACAGGGCTGAGTTCAACCCCGGGGTTGAAAATGCTCCATGTAATCGTCCCCTAAATAGCCAAAGTCAGATGAGATTGACAGCTCTGTATGTACAAATATACCAAATATAGACTATCGTTCTTTAGTTCTTTTATCGACTCTGGTGGAAAAAGGCGGGAAATTGATTTGGTAAACAAGTTCTCTCACTTCCCATTTGCGAAACATCACTTAGGTTATCGATAAACAATTCCCCAGATTCAGTTAAATTTCCTTAAACATTTCGCATTGTTGGTGAACGAATAGTCTAAATTTAAGGAAAGTTCGGCTTAAAATGAGAATGCTGTTGGTAAATTTTCATCCATCAAAGTCACCTGACGTCATTTTTGGCTCGAGTCCTGAATCGAGTCCTGCCTCGAGTCCTAGCTCGAGTCCTGGCTCGAGTCCTGGCTCGAATCCTGACTCGATATTTAGGTACCCTCCATTGTATTTTCCGAACACGAAGTCAGTCTAAAGTAGTTGTCATGGTAACACGATAATTTTTTAAGAATATTCTTACAAATCGCCTAAAAATATCACTTTTAATTACAAAATTATCAATTTCCCAACATATATATGTTAGGTATGTTATTCTACGTAATATAAACTTCATTTTAAGGTAAAATTCAACCAAAAACGCTTCGCAAAACGTTTTAAAGTGTTCTTTATAAAACTAAACTGCCTTTTAATAATTAAATGGCTTTATCGATAAACTTTGAGTTTGCAATAAAATGATTTCAAATTCTCGCATGCAAATAACTTTGCTTTCTTTTTAATTTAAAAAATTCAATATAATAAAAAAGGGAATCAATTATATTAATAATACACTGAAATTATATGCTGTCTTGTTTAGTTGTTTCATATACGCAAAGTGCCAAAGCCCAAAAGCCGTCGGGTTTTAAAGCAATTATAAAATCAATATTTAAAACAAACTTACCTTCGTTAACGTCGGCTTCCTTCTTTTAGCCGATTCTTTCGCCCTTTCTTTCTGAGAAAGCTTCTGAAATTTTCAAAATCTTTCAAAAATGCGAGCAAAAATGAAATATATTTGCAAGAAATGTATCAATCATCATTCATCAAATCAAGAAATGTTTGCTATTTCGCTGTCGTCATGCAGCGTAATAATGCAAACTTTAAATTGGACCAATCAGTGTTCGCTATTCATGACAGTCCGCCATATTTTTGAGATCAGTGAGGATGACCACCCACCCCAACATCGTTGGTCACCCACGCCCGCGATAATTGATGAACTTTAGACTTCGCTAATGCTTTCGTTTCCCCGGGTGTAAATAGCTGGGGGGAATTAGTACCCGCGCCGTCGGCTCGGGGATAAGCAAACTGGGAAGATGATAACTCGGCCTCGAAAGATCTTTTACTATGCATAACTCTTACTATGATAATATATGATAAACCGTTCTTTCGAAGCATCTTCCAATCACAGGTGTGACGTTTATACCTCCAAATTCACAATATTCTTTTGGATTCTTGACTTTTGGTAAAGGATCTATATGAGCAGTTTTCCAAGAGGTAGGCCATGTGAACGTAAATGGACGTCACGATGAGTGGTCACGGTTTCAGAAGCTCCGTGTATTTGTGTTTTATTTCAACTCAAATATTGTCAATACATACTTGGAGTAGTTACATAAACGATGCCAAAACTAAGAAACCCGAAGAAGCTAACGAAGATCTAACGCTCAGATAAGTATCACAGCTTATTAGTTATTATAAAGTAAAAAATATCAACTCGTTAAAGAAGCGAACAAAATACATCGGACAAAACGTGAGTTATTATCCTAATTCTGTTAAAACATTCAGAATAATACAGACATGCGGTGATATAGAGTCGAACTCCAGGCCGAAAAAAACGAGCTACTAGCTGCTGAGAAACGTTGGAAATATCCGTGCAAAGAATGCAGGAAACCGGTCAAGTGTAATCGAAACGGGATGTTATGCTCGAACTGCAAATTGTGGTTCCATATCGGATGCATTGGTCTTTCCAGAACTATGTTCGTATCATATTACTCAAACACTCTACAATCGATTGGACATGCCCTGGTTGTGAAATAAACTTTCTATCAGACAGTTTATTCGATGAAACTCAAACACAAAGCGAAAACTGTATGGACCATGTGGTGAATATCTTAACTAAACTTGGATATTCTGAAGATTTCTGCCGTAATCAAATAGAAATAGCTCACCGCACGGGCAGAAAGATCTCTAATCGCCCTCGACACATAATTCTGAAGTTCTTTAGTAGGCCTCTCAAAAACGAAGTCCTTCGCTTGGCAAAATGGAATAAGTCTATACTAAACGGCATCTACTTTCTTGATGACCTTACTAAGGAAGACTTTGATCTTAAACAACGTGTCCGTCCTCTGATGGCTGCCGCATACAAAGAAGGTAGTAAAGTGACTTTTCGAGCTGGTAGGTTAATCAACTCGATATTAATCTAGATTATGATCGTCTTAACTCTAATTATTTTAATCCATTTCTTAGTGATTCCGATACACGACATTTACTCAGGGGCGCACATCTAAGGAATTTCTAGGGGGGTGTGGGCCACTTGGGGGCCGACTTTTTGATATTCAAAAAGAAATGAAACAGAAGGGTAAAAACAATTCTGCAAAAACATCATGCCACAGAACAGGGACGTGGGAGTGTATTTGAAAGAAAGAGGTCAAGTCTCGCCACCATGGTTGGCGCCGAGCGAGAAAATTTTCAACATTTAGAACCTCTAGGTCGCCGGAAACGACCATTTCAGAGTCTTAACTCTACCTTTTCGGTAGGCTCGTTCAGGTGTACGAACGAAGGATTAAGAAAATTCATCCCTTATTTAATAGTTCGCTCAATTTCTGCATTTGTTCAATCTGTTCCAGATCAATAGAATCAGATAACTGAGATAAGTCTTTTTCTGAACTGAAGAATCAAAACATGTGTATAGGCCTATGAGCTCGCGTGTGAATACCAGGACGTGTTTATTAATCAATCAATCAAAATATTTAATCAAGGTACCTACGATCTATTTACAGGAGGTAGGTCCTTGCAGGAGGATCGGAAGGTTAACCCTATATAAGAACCCCCTTAGAAAGGATTAGTAGATAAAAAGTGTTAATAGTATGTACATTAATGAGTGTATATTAGTAAACTAAGATAGACATATTAGTAAATTAGTAAATTAGCAAATTAATAAATATTCATGTGGTGCTTGAGTTCCTGCTTAAAACTATGAAAACTACTTGCTTCGACGACGTTCAGAGGCAAAGCGTTCCATGCAGTGACTATTCTGACAAAAAAAGAATACTTATAAGAGTTAACTCTAAAAAGCTTGGTATATAGTGTATATTTGTGATTTGATCTGGTTTTCCTCGATTTCTTATATTCAAAAACTTCATCGAAGTTTATACCATTTAGGCCAAAAACTGTTTTATAGCACTCTATGAGAGATAAGTACTCTCTGCGTTTTTCCAAAGTATTCCATTTTAGTAAGACACAACGATCTGGGTAGGACATCTCTCCCCGCTTCTGTTTAAGTGCTATCCGCGATGCTCTTCTCTGAACGGATTCGAGAGCCTTGATATCCTTGGATAAGTGTGGCGACCAGACAGGTGCGGAATATTCCAGTACAGGTCTAACCAAAGCTTTGTACAATAAGGTGAATGTTGCTAAGTTTGATGATCCAACGGTTCGCTTAACCAGACCTAGCATTCGGTTTGCTTTACTAGTAATATTATGAACATGAGATGACCAAGCTAGGTTATGTGTCATCATAATACCTAGGTCTTTAAATTCGTCTGTTACTTCAAGTTTCTTATCTGACAGATAGTATTCGGGTAGAGAGAGGTCTTTTGAGTGGGTTATTCGCATTACTTCGCATTTCTCAAAGTTGAAGTTTAGTTGCCAATTTTCAGTCCAATTTCTCATACGGTCTAAATCAGATTGTAAAATACTAGTATCGGCAACTTTGTCTACTAATTTTCGGTAAATTTTTGTGTCATCTGCGAAGAGCTTAATCGAGCTTTGGATTTCCGAGGGTAGGTCGTTTATATAAATAAGGAACAATATTGGACCTAAGATTGTTCCCTGGGGTACCCCTGATTTAACTGGGGACCAGTTTGACTGCGAGCCACGTGCGATAACACGTTGATAGCGGTCCGTGAGAAAGTATCTAAACCAATCGAGCAGTGCTCCACCGATACCGTGTTGTTTCAATTTGTATAGTAAGCGCTCGTGTGGCACACTGTCAAAAGCTTTACAAAAGTCCATAATTACAACATCAGTGGGAGTAGCTTCTTCTCTAGATTTAGCCCAATCATTGAAACATAGAAGTAGTTGGGATAGTGTAGATTTATTTGCTTGGAAACCGAATTGATGTGTATGAGCTGTCATGAGAATATCCGTTCGCAGGCCACAGGTGCGAAATCGCATAGTAGCAGAGAGAGAGATAGTCTAGAGAGAGATAGACTATCTGCGCGCAGGCTAAGAGAGAGACGAGTTTATTTCTTCGAATATAATTGTTACTTTCGTCCGTCCATATAAAATACTGAAAATAATGAAAATAGTGAAAATAATGAAAATAGTGAAATGAAATCAAGATAATAAATAATCTGAATGAACCATCTAAACCTTAGCGGGTGCGCTACGATTTGACGTTTAAAAATCAAGAAATAGTTTCTTACATATTAACACATACACATAGGCCTACCTTTTACAACTTCATAAAAAGCCGCGTGAGTAAACTGCGCGTTGCTTCTAACTTGATCAAATTCCACATCACATAATCAATTTGACCAATGCTTCAATGGTAATGTTATGTTGTTCTTTTAAACCGTTTCTTTTCAAAAATAGTAACGCCAGACACCAACGTGGTCGGTGATCTCCCGTCTCCATATGTAACGTAACGCGATACATTAAAAGTTCCTCAGGCCGAATTTTATGTAATCCAAGTACATGACATTCAGGAAATGTATTTGTATTTCCTTTCGGCCATGCATTAACCGGTGAACGCGTGTCCCTTGTTCATAACATCTTACCAACCAGCTCTTGTGTTGTCGGTCCCAATTCACGGAGTCGGACAGAAGTAAATCTTAATTCTTATACCCGAATTTTGGGACCAGTATTCGCACAGTATCAAGGAAGAATGGGACCGACTTTTAGTGATATTCGGACGCTAAGGGGGGTTTCGCACCCCCCTCCCCTAATGTGCGCCCCTGCATTTACTTAATAATTCTGATATTGATCCTAATTCAAATATTTTTCTGTTAAACTCTCAAATACTGTCTAGCTGTGCCTATTATACCACTAGGGAATTTAATAATTTATTCACAAAAAAACCAAATTGTTTTTCCACACTCCACATGAATATTAGAAGTCTCAAAAAATTTTTTGATGATTTCACTGAATATTTATCTACCATCAATTTATCTTTTTCGGTCATTGCGTTATCAGAAATTTGGCTCAATGATTCTTCTAGTGATTCTTTTCATATCTCTGGGTATAACTTTGTTGCAAAATCCAGGAAACATAGGATAGGTGGCGGTGTTGGCATTTTTATTAAGTCTTCATTCACGTACAAATTTCGACCAGATCTTGAACTTGCATCGAATGAATGAACTGAATCAATATTCTTGGAAATCACTCAGTCCGAAAATAAAAACGTAATTATAGGCTGTATTTATAAACCTCCTAATGTTGAGGTTGAACTATTTAATGATTTTTTGACCTCAATAGTAACCAAAATTGGATATGAAAATAAAATATGTTACATTTTGGGAGATTTTAACATTGATTTGATTAATCACGAATCTCATCTACCCACGAAAGAATTTATTGATCTTCTTTCCGCAAACAGTCTTTATCCCACTATCTCCAAAACAACTAGAATTACATCCCACTCTGCCACCTTAATTGACAATATGTTTACGAATAATCGTGAGCATGACATTGTGAGTGGTATGTTATACAGTGATCTTACTGACCATCTTCCTACTTTTCAGATTACTAATTTTCAACCTCAACAACATACGGTTCCTGTTAATATTAAAACTAGGAAAATAACCCAATCTAGTATTTTGAACTTTCAGAATAAATTGCAAGAAATAAACTGGGATGAAACAAGATTAAATACTTCGCCTAATCACTCGTATAACTATTTTTCAGGAATACTTCTTCCAATTTATAATAATCATTTCCCAATAATTGTTAGAAATTCCAATTTTAAAGCCAGCTCTAAATCATGTTGTAAACCATAATTCGTGTTGTAAAAAGAATACTTTATATAAAACTTATCTGAAAAATCCTACTCCTACCAATAAACTTGGTTACACAAAATATCGCAATAAATACAACTATACCGTTAAACTAGCTAGGAAATGATAAACTTGAAATGCAGCAATCTAACCTAAAAGCGACTTGGTCTACTATTAAAACTGTTATTAATTGGCAGTAAATCCAGAGCTAGCATTCCTACCAGTATGAAAGATTCTGCAGGTGGTGAATACACTGATCCGTTTTGCATTGCAAATAAATTTAATGATTTTTTTGTTAATATTGGTCATTCTTTATCCAAAGATTTTTCCAGTTCCAATAATCAACACCGTAATTATCTAACTGGATCATTCAATGGTAGTATTTCATTATTTCCTACTGACCCTTTCGAAATAACTACAATTGTTAACTCCTTGAAAAATAGCAGAAGTGAAGGGGTTGATGGTATTAACATATCCATAGTTAAAGCTTGTATTGATTTAATAGCATTACCTCTCTCAACTATTTTTAATAAATCAATTTCGACAGGTATTGTTCCTAATCAATTAAAAATTGCTATCTCCGATCTCAATTCTACCATGTTTTTCTAAAATTCTTGAAAAGTTACTTTACAATAGGTTTTTAAATTTTATTAATAAGAATAACATATTATTTGATCACCAATATGGATTTCGGAAAAATCATTCTACTTCTATGGCCATAATTGAGCTGGTTGACAACATTTCTCTAGCTTTCAACACTAGAGGTTATACAATTGGAACTTTTATTGACTTTAATCGTATCGGATATACAAACACGAGCCGAAGGCGAGAGTTTGTATATCCGATACAACACGGATCGACGCGAATGTTGTAAACAACTTAAAAAATAGGTACGCAATGCGTACATGTGGCTAGCCTGGTAAACTTTAACTCCCCAAACCCTTCTCCAAACCCAGAGGGCCTGCCATGCTGGTTAACTTTAATAGTAATAAGAAGACACGCAGGCTAACTTTAATAGTAATAAGAGGAGATATTATTGTACAATGCATATGCAATCTCCGTGGTGATTGGCTAAGAATCTACAAAAAATTCTCAATGTCTTGCTGCCTCCGACATTGAAAAATTGTCGGTAGGTGACATAATTCTAGTATGCATGGCTGACCTACAAAACTCTCTGCA